ACGCTTATCCTGCATTTTGCCACTTCTTCCACTGTGTTTCTTTGGGTCTATCCATGAAACAATACGTACTATTTGAGTTCTATTTTTTTTTCTATATTTTTTCTTAACGGAATGTCACTACTTGCCATTTTTCCTTCATTGCTATATACAGTTGCTGTTGTATGCGCGCATGCGTACAATACCACTAGGATGACTAATATATGGTCATCAGTGACTGAATCAAACCATTTTTCGTTGGTTCGAGTTCAGTTCAGTTTGAATTTACTTTTAAAAATTGATTCGAGTTCGGCTGGGTTCGACCTTATTTTTGAAAAGTGGTTCGAGTTTGGTGCTATTCAAATAACCCTAGTTCTATCAAATCCGGAATACACGATAGGTCGAAATCTGTTTCTTCTGGTTAAGTGAGTTTAAATCTTTTACGAAAAGTACAAGTAACAGGAAACCTTGAACTAAACGATATTGAAAAGTAGGTTTTTTTCTTAGTGTGTATTTGCAATGTGTTAAATAGTGGTATTTGTTTTTCTATAAAAATTTAAAACAAGAAAACTAGTTTTTAATTCAGTTTTATACGAGGGAAGTTTTTCGGAAAAATTTTGCTGTTCGAGGAAATTTTTATTTTGCTGGCAGATTCTCCATGCCTGATGGCAACTCGTTCATATTGAAACTGTTGATTTTGCTATCTTCTTCATTTATTAATTTGAATTGATTAATATTTTTCATACTTTAACTCAAACATATAATTTCAAGTATATCGATCTAAGACTAAAAGCAAATTGAAGATTATTTATCTATTCTAGGCGAACAGGTTACTGTTAACTTTTCCAATGAAATATGCAAGATACATATGAATTGATTACTAAGAATATATTTCTTTCGATTTTTCTCAAACGAAAAACATATAAAATTAAGTATACAAAATTAATTGAATTATTTTGTGCCTCATTAATTTTAGATTCAATTTGTTTGTGAAACAGCACTAACAAAAATAAAACCATCCTGGTACTTTAATAATCAACAAATAAATGATTCATCAAAATACAGATCGATATCAATAAATCATACACACCATTTACTTGTTGTGTATAAACCTGAACAATTCGATAAAGGTGAATATAAAATTTCATTTGTTGGAAGTGATAAATCATCAACAGCTAATTTACAAGTGTTTCAAACTCCATCAACAATTAAATTTATAAAATTATTTAATGAAATATATTTGTTCAACGAAGGTGAGAATTTTTTCTACTTGAATAAAACAAATATTTGATAATTGATCCAGAAATTTAAATTTTTTTTATTTCTTAAGACATCTCGACGTAGATATGTATTAGACCGATCTTAGTACAACGACAATTAGCACCGACACCTTATTTGGTTGTTATGTCTTTCTGATCGCTGATGTTTACAACGGATTTAGTTTCTATTATTTAAACTATCAACCATGAACATCATTGCAGTTGTTTCAAGACCAGACGAATTATTTATTGATTTATTAGGACATCTGGCTAAAGAAACAAAATAAAAGATAAAAAGATTGTTTTCACTTAACGACATTGTCTAGCTTGCAACAATCGACAACAAATTTGTCTTTTTTTGTGGGCGGTACTGGTCAATCATCTCAAGACCATATACGTGAAGCTTGTTTATTACTTGAGAATGATGGAAGTCGGGCTGCTATAGTGCAATTAATAGATAATGATGATATTCTTTATTTATACCATCAATTCTTATACAGAACAACAATAATTAGATCTGTTTCATTTATAATGTCAAATGAAGATGAAGACAAATTATCAGGTATGATAATTCTGAATTGAATATTTATATATGTCTGTTTTGTAGTATCAAAAGATCAAAATTCGACAGAAACGAAAAGTATGTGGCTAATATTCGATTGTAAAAACAAAAAAAGGTCATGTCGGGATACGTTGGTATTCGTTAACATGTGAAGCAATCAATATAACTACACTGAACATTGATATGTCGACAAAAGGAAAACAAAATTATCAGTGACATATTCAATTAAATCAGATCGAACATATGAAGAAATTTATTGCTGCTGAAGAATTTATCACTAATAAACCATCTGGAATGAAAGAGTTAAAACAATGACTTTCATTAATTCCGGAAAACGCCCTTTTCACTTTATCGTCACCATCGAATATATTCATTTAATTAAATGAATTATTTGAATACGCTGAATATATTGGTCGTAGTTCGTTTGATGAAGCAAGGGATATTTTGTTTTATTCTTCTTGGATATTTGGTTTAATTGATTTATGAAAAACTATGTTCGAATTTCCAAGATTAAGACCTAAAAGAGTATTAAGAATTTTTGGAAGTCTTTGTTAAAAAATGATTTATTACGAAAATGAAATTTTCTTAGTATTACTTTCTCAGTATTAAAATGAATTTTTTTTAATCTTTTTAAGAGAATTGAATCATTACAACTGATTTTTCTTTAAGGTATATAAAGTTCGTTCTGCTGAAAATCAACAATGGTACACAATAAAATGTTTATCAACTCAATTTCGTAATGAAATAGATCGATAGACTAATAATAACTGATATTTATTTTGATATAAGTTCTATTTTCATCGCTTAATAGTATTAAAAAATTAGAAGTAATTGATTTTATAAAGCACTGCCAACTCATACTAATATTATTAAATTGTTACACACATGGAAGAAACACCAACATTTATACATTCAAACAGAATACTGTGAAATGAAGTACGTAAGAGAGATTTTATTCATAAGTATAATCTTTTTTCTTAAGCTTATATGAATTTGTCAAAGATCACACAATAACACAGTTAGTGGTTTGGTCTTTACTTGAACAAATATGTGAAGTATGATAAAAATACTTTTTTTATATAAAATCGAAATAACTTGTTTAGGCTCTTGCTTGTCTTCATTCATTATTTCATGTACATATGAACGTAAGTAGATAGGAAAAAAAATAAGATAAATAAAAGGAATTAATTTAGATTAAGCCAAAAAATATCTTAATTACAGCTGATGATATTCTTAAAGGTGATGATTTTAGTAAAATTCGAAAATTGAAAGATGAAATTGTTCTATTTATTTTATCTTAAAAAAAAAAAATTTTTTTTCTAAATTTTAGTCATTCAATTTGATGCATATTAATGGTACACAATATCTTCCATTCGAAATAGATTCAGGTATAATCACAACAGCAATTGATATCTTCAGTTTAGGGCTGATGTCATTACAATTAATAAGTAACAATTATTGCATGTATCTATCAAATGATATTCGAGATAAAATTCTAGTGATGGTCAAAACAAATTCAAATATTGAGAAATGCATGCTTCTTTCAATTACGAATAGAGAGAAAGAATTCATTTCGTCATCGTCGCTTTCTTTTCTTAATGATTTTTTAGACAGAATAAGAATTCGATTTATTGTTGAACATAAAGAAGAGCCATAGACCAGTCATTAATGCACTTATAACTGATTTTCACCGCAGAAGCTTATTTTTTGCCAGAATAGGAATTATTTTACATTTTTGAAGTTGAATTTTTTTCAAATACCTCAGGTTCATCCAGTGGCCGCGCGAAGGGTCCAGGATTGGGAGGAGGGGGAGCAGTGTAAGTGTCTTTAAAAGTTTTGATAGAGGTGTGCGCAACGAAAAATCATCTAGCGACAATCAGGAGCATACCTGCCCTCCAAATGTAGAGAAATGTAAAAATTTTTTCTGCCATAAGTATAAAAACCGTTGTCGGTCATTTTTTCTACATACGACTTTTTTGAAGTGCCGCGCAGCGATAAAATTTTTTTTCATTTGCATAAATCAAACATTTTTGAAAAGAAAACAGCAGTATTAAAACTATCAATTCAGCAGTTGTTTTGGAAGAAAATGCCGCCGAAGGCGGCAGCTTTTCGGAGCAATATAAAACAGAAAACTCTGACAAATGTGCATTCATTGGTATAAAAAGTTGATTTCTCGAGTGATAGGAGAGAAATATTCTTTCTTTGAGATTGATTGCCGAAGACGGCTACACTTTTTACTTTTATTTATCTTGAAAGATGAATATCAGCTATTAAGCATTTCATAATGAAAACCGAAATCAAAAAGAGCCATTTAGTTATACAATTACTGAAGAAAACCTAATTCGCGTAGCGAAAATTTTTGAAAAATGCTTCAAAATGAGGCATGAGAAAGTTCTTTACTAAGAAATTTTATTCCAAAAAGCCTTTATGCCAGTTGTTACAAAATGACCCCTATTAGTACTTTCAAAGCTAGGGGAATGACCCTCACTTACGTCACTTTTTCTGCCTTGATGACAACAAAACATTTATAGCATCAAGTTAAATATTCCCTATCAATACTATATTATAAAATCAATACATGCTATTGTCTATTTTTCATAGTTACAAATTCAAAATTTTCATTTATTGGGGAGTGTACATCTCTCCACGCCCCCTCCTCGCTCACGCGGCTACTGGACCTAGTATTGTATCCTGATAACGGTATGGTAGAAATGGCTGGTGTCCGCGTGAACCCCACACGATCATATCAAGACTAATAAGATTAGATTTGATGCTTTATCGAATCTCGTCAATTTCAAGAGATAAATTTCTTTTGATCGACAACAAGAAACAATCAATGTAATCAACAGACAAGGAAATTACTATGAGTTAATCATCATAGACTTCAGCTGACAACTAAAGTTCTCTTTTTGTCTGAAACTTTCAGATTTTTTGATTCTATAGACGAGTGTGAGCTCAAAGAGGAGATAAAATATCGTCAAGTTCTCACATAAGTATCGATAAAGATACAGCATATATTCAACTGAGAAATTGCATTCAAATAATGTCAAATTAAAATATATAAATTTTTTTTTTTATTTCCTTTTAGACTGAATGTTAAAACATTCGTCTTCGTTTTGTTTTTCTTCTTTCAACTTTATTCAACAAAACAACAATGGAGCATGATAATATTCTTAATTGATGTTATCCAGTGTTTTGTATATTTATTCATTGTCAACATTAGTAGTAAGTAATCCTAAAATAAAAAAAATATTTAAAAAAAAAATTTTCCGAAAAAAAAAGTCCAAACCCTTAAATGAAGGTACTCGAACGAATGTCACTAATGTATAGAGTTTATTTGGTGAATCTTCATCTTCATTACGTTGACGAGCTAATCGTACTCGAACACGATATGGAACATGACTAAAATAAATTGAATATTAAGTAAATCGAAAAAGAAAATGAACTACTAACTTAATTCCTTGTGACCAAATTTCCTTGTTTAATTTTGAATCAATACGAACATCAGGTGTTTTCATCATTTTTTCAGCGAATTTTTTCAATTCTTTGACTGCTCGTGGTGCACGTTTTTTGAATGCTCTATTAAAAAGTATTCAATAAAATTTTATAATAACAAAACAAAAATCGCATAAAACATACATGCCATGTAGTCGTTTATGTAAATTAACAGAATATTCCCGCGTAACAACTTCATTTGTAATTTGTTTCTTTTTGCTACCACCACTTTCACCTTTTTTAGTTTTTGTGTTCGACATTGTTAGATTAGATGTTTAATCTAGAAATAGTTTGAACCCCAAGAAATTATTTATTTTTTTAGGGGAAGATAATTTATGTTATGACGAACAATAAACCAAATAGATAAGCGAACAACAACAAAAAAAAACCGAAAACGTGAAAGTAAAATAACAAGACAAATGAAAATTCGATCGATTAGGCCAACAAAAAAATTTTAATAATAAATATATATCGGAAATAGAAAGAAAAAAATGCTATGCATGCTATTAAAGAGTTAATAAGTAAAATGAAAACTATTTTTTGCTTATCTGTTGTTGTTATTTTCACTCAACAGGTAATTACGATCATTATTCACGGGATTCGATGTCACATCTAGCGGCAAAAGAACGTCGTTACTAAATAAAAAAATAATCAAAATTTTTTTTTTTTTTATAAAGCATAAGTTAGTAAACTGTCAGAAAACAAAAAAAAACAATTATTGTTGATTTTCGTTTACGTCCAATTCTCTCTTCTTCTTGATCAATTCTTGAATATTTCAAGGTGTCATCAGATTAGTATCAAAGGTTAATTGAGAATTTTTTCAAGATAAGGAAAGAGACAATACCGGCATCCATTATACAAATCTCTGATTAACTCTAAATTAGTGTCTTGCAACCAGGTCTATTACCCGGTGACACCGAGCTAGGATATCAAATTATACCGGGATTCGATTCGGCAACTAATGGAATCTCGACGTTTCAAAATCTTTTTACTTTTTCAATCTATTAATTTGTACAAAAGCATATGAGTAAAAATTTGAGCAATTTATTGTACTTGAGAACAAGTTACAGAAGTGGAAAGTGGTATTGTTCTACTTAACGAATCCGTTTTTTTAATGAAAACTCATGTAGAGATGTTGATGAACTATAGGACGAAGTAACTGAATACATGAATAGAAAAATGAATTATCAAAAAAGTGAACATGTATTATCATAATGTAAAAAGCATTCATGCACGTATCCACAATTATGAAGTTTGGCACCAACATTGCATTCCATTCTAGCATCATCAGCAATAAGCAAACGTATACTTAGCGAAATTGATTTGCTTTTAGAAGCAGAAAGACACCAAGTAAATTTCGAGCTACTTGGTTTTTTGTGGAATTTTAGATGGTCCCTTTTTTGCTGTTGTTTATGGAGGAAACTAAATGGTATACTTTCTCATATAAAATAAAAGTGTGAAGACCGAACTATGGTTGTGAAAATATCTATCAGATGTCAATTAGTTCCGATTAGTGGTCGATTGCGAAGAGTCGTACCTGTGAAAGACGCTATTCTAAATTAATAATACTAAAACTCCATGTTTTGTCTTCTCAACTCTTAGACTTGATTATTTTTTTCAGAGGACCTGCGGTCAAAGTCCCAACGAGAACTGAAACAGACTTATTTCTATAGAAAAACTTAGACAAAAGATACTAAGCATGTAGAAATCAACCGGCTTGTTTTTTATAGATTTCAACGTATTTTAAACAACTCTATAGACAACAAAATAAAAGTGAACATGTTGTTTGAATACGTTGCAGTGTGATTGTTCTCGTCATGCAGTTCAAAGTTTGTTTAGCTCCATCCGAAAATATACACATGAGTAAGATAGTCTTGCCAATATCTGAGGATATCGAGCGTTCTAAAAAATTTAGTTGAGAATGACTCGTATCTAATATTTCGTACTTTTTGGTTCGAGTGTCTATAAATAAACTTTTTATCGTTGAATCTGCTATAGGAGTCACTTCGCACTGAAATAAAATACTATGTCGGTTTACTTATTCGATGTTGTCAAAGAGCGTTGGATCCATTCGATCCAAACTAGTTTTTGGATTTTCTAAAGATTATTTCACTACTCTCGAACAAAAACTAAGACAAAATTTCTAAGTCCACATTCAAAAGAGCACAAAATTCTGGTCTTAACTCATTGAGAATACTTTCTAATGCGTCAAACGTGCACAAACATCTTGTCTAAACTCCTTCCGATTATACGTTATTTATTCACTTGATGTCAGTTGATAGAACTTCTCAACAACTATAGTAGATGTGTGATGGCGCATTTTTAACAAAACAATCAGCTCTCAGAGTTGAAAAGAAAGTCATAGCCGAAATACCAAAAAGTTCGTTTTACAGTGGAAGTCGAAATAATTCAATAAGATTTATTTTCATTTTTTTTCCACTGTCATAAGCACTAGAAAAAATCCAAATAGTGATTCCAATAGAAAAAATTATTTCCAACAAGAATATGAAGAAATAAAAATGATTATCAAGTTCGCAAAGATAGGAGCTCCAGAAAACCAAAACTCGAGTTTTCCAACATCTAGAACACTTAAATACAATTTTGTTTAAACTACATAGAGCGATAGAGTAAACCATCCTGTACAAAATGAGACGTTGCCAAGTTCTCTGAGACATTTTTTGACTGAAATACAGCAATTTGATTGAAAGTCAAAAAATGGTTTTTCTATTGGAAATTGAAAAAAAAACAAATTTAGGAACTTCTGTAAGATAATTGTATCTCAACTAATTCACATCACAGAGAACTCGAAAATGTCTCATTTTGTAGAGAATGATTTGTTCTATGTAGTCGAAACAAACTTATATTTACTCTTTGTAGATGCTAAAAGACTAGCATTTTGGTTTTCTGTAGTTTCTGTCTTTGAGAACTTGATCATAACTTTTATTTCCTTATATTCCTCTTAACGAAACAATTGTCTCCATTCGAATCGCTATTTGGATTCTTTCTAACATTTACAAATTTAAGTAGTTGAGACGATTTGGTGTCAAGATTGATGCGTCCAAAACTACAATCAAAATTTCTTGAATGAAGGTCTCTGAAACAGCAAGACTCTCAAAAACCAGCTTCCTGAATCGGATCGAAAGCCTTTTGCAAACAATTCTATTTGATAGAGCAAAGTGTGTCGTCTCCGAGCTCTCCATTACCTTGAATTATCGAACTAAATTTAAGTTCAAAGAAGAGAAAAATGATTATGATACCATTTTAAAATTAAACGTAGTTTCACGAAGACAGATCGTAGAGAGCTCAGAGACAAAACATTTTGCTCTATCGAATAGAATTGTTTGCAAAAAGCTTTCGATTGGATCCAGGACGCTGGTTTTATAGAGACCTTCATTCAAGTAATTGTGATGGAATTTTTAGATGCATCTATCTTGATACTAGCTCATCTCAGCTATTCAAATCTTTCTTCAGATTTTTTCTAGCTATTACCAGCTAGAAGAAAATTCGAAAATTCAACAGCCTTAAAATTTTGTCCGTCATTATATATATGGTCCATCCGATATTTTTTATATAAGTGAGCTCTCATTCAATTAAACCGAAACCGATGATAATCTTTTTTCATAAAAGCCATGGCTAGTGAACATCTCATTCTTCGATTCAACTGTCACTTCGTCGATTAGACACATAATCAATTCGATACTCAAACAAGTCTGTTTTTTTTTCTAGTTTAGTTTCATTAATACTTTGAAATTCTCTAATCATTGTCCTATTTCGAACATCTTAATTAACGAATAAAATCATATTTAATCTATTTATTATAAAACTATAAGTTCCTTTTCAGAGCATACCTTATATTACCAGATTGTTGTTGTTGTTGTTGTTGTTGTTCTTGCAAACCACCAAGTAATAGACTATTCACTTGATAATGAACTCCATCACCTCGACTATTTAATTAAATTTTTAAAAATTCAACCTTGAGAAAAAATAAAAATTAAATCTCACGTTGTCCATATGGGTATAATTGCCATTAGAAATTTTTTTCCAAATATTTCTTGAAAATTTTGTTTACATCCTATATTAAATCCATTTTTTTGTGGTCCATTAGAAAATATCGGTGCTCGGAATGATTCTAATCATATCAAATCAATAAACATATTAAAAAAATTACTTTTTTTTTTTACCAAGTGTAGTTCGATTTTTTCCAGTGAGATATAAATGATAAAAAAATAATGATGATACACTAATAGCAAACATAATTGCCGCGAAAAAGAGAAAAAGTAAATGAAATTTTCCACCTGGTGATATTGAACTATTCACATCCTAAAAAAAATGAATATTTTTTTTTTTTATAATGGAATAATATGTAGCAGACCTTGTGAGCATTAGTAATTCCCTGAAGCCAATTTGAAAAAGGAAAATCAATGCATAAAGCAGCAAGAAAAAAAAACTCAAGTATTTAAATTACCTGCCAAAAAAGAATAAAATATTCTAATGATGTTGCTGCAACATAAGTACAAAATACTAAAGCCCAACCAAGAAATAAAATAAAAAATTTATAATTTGCATAGGAAACACAACTATTTGTCCTGAAAATAAATAAATTAAATTTTGTGAAGTTTTATAAAAAGTAATTACCATGGACAATGATGATCATATCGAAGAATGCATTTTCCACATATGGAACAATGATGAGCTCGATCGGGTTTTATACATCGACATAAAAAACAGTAACGAATACCTGAAGTATTTTTTAAATAAATAGTTTCATTGAATATTAAACTTAATAATTAAACATACTTCCATCAAAATGTCGAGTTAATACGGGTAAATCGCCTCGATGACAAAAACGAAGAAGAGATGTACGTCGTTCATCTAATGTTTGTGCTGTTGCTATACGTTCACCTTCTGCTTCACCAACATAAAACTATAAAAAAAGAATATCGAATAATAATAAAAGAAAATTCTCAGAATAAATTTACTTCACTAGGTGGTCCCATTAAAGGTTTAAACATTGTTTGATAATAAGACCATAGAAAGATAAATAATAATGGATGATAAATAAATAAATATATAACTAAATATAAACAGAAGCATTTTAAAATCGTATATTGATTTCGAAAATTTAATTTTACTGAAAAGTCTAGTAGTTATCTAAGGTGAAAGAAATCATACGTCTAATGAAATGTAATATTTTGGTATAAAAAGTTTCAACTGAATCAACTTTTTCGTAAATCAAAATTTATTATACAACATACATAACTTGATAAGTTCTTTCGACTCTACATCAATCAAATATTGCTCGTCTTTGTCTTACCTTTTTTTGGAACATTATCAATCGTTACTAGAAAAAATAATATTAAATTCAAATCTTCTAAACAAATTTTATACTTACAAATACACATTTGTACAACATATGCATAATAGGACCATGCGACAATAGCAAGAATAAAAACTACTGGAATACTTTTTAATGCTTCAAAACAACACACACGAGATTGTCGTAGACTCATTGGATAACCTATTTACACATCAAGAGAAAAAAACTTTATGTTTCTTGAATTCAAGGATTTATTCAAGTGGAAAGAAAACTACACAATTAGGATTAATAAAGGGGCAAATATATTTTTAAAAAAATTAGTGAATTTGCAACACTTACGGAACCTTATCATTCTCGAAATGAACATAGAATAAAATGTTCGTGAATCTTGCGTATGGTGCTCACTCACCAATAAATTGTCATTTGACTAACAGTAAAAGTATAGAGGAAAAATTAATTCTCTAGCTCATACAAATTAATTAATCGAATCTTTTTTTTTATATACTTACTTCTTGATTCGATGAGAGCAGAGGTGCTAAAACAATATCTTCATTCTAAAATAATAAAGTATAATTTAATATTTTGAGAATATTTTGTTTTATGTTACCTGTTGAGCTAATTTAGTTAGGATATCGTTTGAAGAAGAATGTTTATTCATCAAATGTTGGTACCATACATCGAATACAAAACTCGTTGTAAATATAAATAATTTTATCTAAAAGGTCAATGTAAATATTATATTTGATAAGAGTTTGATGAACATATGTTTATTCATTAAACGATATATGATAAGAATTTATTTGATAAACAACGTTTCTTTGGACTAATGCCTGGTTTTACCATTTGTAAACCTGCAACTAAGGTTCTAGTAAATAAATAAGTAAAATCAACAATTGGCCGTGAAAAGTATAGAAAGAAGAACTGAAGAGAATGAAAGTAAAAAAATCATTAGGAAGAAAATCCAAAATAGATGTCGTTAGTAACAAGTAACTTTTTTTTACAAGATGGCGCGCATAAGAATGCATTTCAATCCGTTTTGATTTTCAACGTATAATCTGATTGAGACATATATAGAATGAATGATCATAAGTTCCTGATCATTGTCATTCGATCATAGCAGTGAATAAGGTACATCTTCACAACAAACTAAATTGGCATTTAGTTATTAACATTAGCTAGTAATGCGAGCATTCCTTTGATAGAAAACAAATAAAGCATGAAGAGTGAATCAAAGTTATTCTGATAGCTCTTTGTTCAAGTTACATTTTTCTCAAAGGGGATCATTCATTTAAAATAATATTTTGCATCTACTAGACATATACAAATGTTGAATTGTTTACATTTTCCTTCTACAACAACTATGTGCATAGCATTTGTCATTTAATTCTTGTGTTAATGAAACTTTCTTCACACTTAGTTCACTTCATAATCGATAAAGCTTTTCAAGTACGGCAAAACAAACTAGTTCTGTACGATCTATAAAAGTTAACCACATAATAAAACCCTAAGTTCACCATTCGTGAGATCCAATTATTCAACTTTTTCGACTAATATTTAACGGTTTTCAAGCATTCATAACACGTATTGCATTTTAAACAAATATTATGTTTGGAATCAGCACAACAAATTAAGTCTATTGATGTATGTCTCAAACTTGTTCTACGAGGTTTTTTTTTTCTTAATCAAATTTTCACCCTTTGGACCTCTTCCTCAGGAATATGTGTGAAAAATGAATTTTATCAGAACGTCATTGTGACTGTCAAAAGCAAGTTTTAAACTTGTAAGATACTATTTGAAGACAAGAAGAACAGGTGACCAAACAATAAAACAGTTGTGTTGATTAAAATTTGTAGTACTTGAAAAGCTCTATCAATTACGAGATGAAGTAAGCGTGGAAGAAGTTCCATTGACACAATAATTAAACGACAAATGGAATGCATATGGATATTTCAGATACAAAATGTAAGCAATCCAAGGTTTGTATATGGTCTAGTAGATTCAAAATATTATTTTAAATGAATAATTTTTTTTGTGAAAATGTAAACTAAACAAAGAGCTGTTAGAATAACTTTGAATCACTCTTCACCCTTTTTACTTTCTATTAAATACATGCTTACATTGCTGACTAGTATCAATAACTAGCTGCCGATTTAGTTTGTTGTGAAGATACACCTTGTTCACTGCTGCGAATTGAATTAAAATGATCATGAACTCACTCTCTTTCATTCTGTATATAACTCAATTAGATTGAATATTGATAATCAAAATCAATCGAAATGTATTCTTGTGCGCCCTCGTCCTTTATCTCCTCCTGATATTCATAGATATGCGTTCTAATAAAAAATACTTGAAAATCATTAAACTTACTTTTTAAATTGGAGAATAATCGTAGTCGTTTTTCAAAGTATCGAGATATTTACGAACTTTTATTTCAATATGAGATTAGTAAGATGAAGATTGAATAAATTTCATATTAATTATTTGGAATATGAAAGAATGGATCTTATAAAGAAAATCGACGAATAGAGAAAATACACCAATGTCTACTTTTACTCGATACCTTAATAATCAGGATCTTGTTGATTGTTGTTTAAATTTGACACAAAAAGTTTAAGAAATGAGGCAAAAGTGTCGAAAAAATCGGTAGTCGTTGCTGCAGAAACGCAAATCATCATTATAACAGCATATAGCCGTTATTTTTTTTAGTCCTTTACAATCCTTCTATAGGATATGGGTATTTCACAGTGCTTTAATCCAATATGAAAATTCAAATAAATAAAAAAATGTAACATTTTGTATGAATTCTTCTACTCGTTGTTTTCTGCTTTACAGTGATAACGTATTGACAAGTCATTACAATCGTATTTTTAATTTCAAATTCAGCTTTTATTAAATGAAAAAGGGAGCAATGTTCTTGATAATATCAATCTGGATATTTATTGTAGTATAAAAACAAGGAAATCTTTTCGTTCACTTTTATGTTCTCGTGAAGTGTTTTATACTTTAATAGTGATGAATTGTCACAACTTTTCGTAAACAAACTATGCGAACAATTCTCCATGCTAAATTTCCATGTTTGGCTCAGCGAAACTGATAAACATTGTCGACAGGTATTGTCTTGATATGAAAAAATAATCGAGATATATTGAAATTCGTCAATGATTAAAATACTTTAAACTGCTTTTATTGTGATTAACATATCCGTGAGAATATTTCAAAACAAAAAGGCACTAGTTCATGTAATCTAATCTTGTTTCTTTACATTAGTTATAGCTAAAGAGTAAATCGTTTTAGGAATTCCTAGATGAATGATTACCGTCGATTCTAGGTGGGAAAATGGTAGGACTTGGAAGCAGGAATTCAGCGACCAGATTTCTGTTTTCAAGTTTCTATCATTATCCGATTGAAAACTATGAAATCGAGGCTGAAGTCATTGATCTGTGTTCGAAACTTTTATCTTGGTGTAAAAATATTGGCTTTATACTGCTTGATGAATTAACTGAAATATCATTCACAAGTCATTTCCAGTTAGTATGAAACATCCTTTACGTTGCAAAGATCGATAGTCTTTTAAGTCCTAATTATCGGTATATTTTGTTTTGAATATCACATACGTGTACTATACCTAAACACCAGTCGACTATTTATTTCATTCTTATAGAAACAGTACAGAAAACTGAACCGTTATGGTATTCTATTTGTGAAAATTTTGTGAGAAAAATATCATTAAATGACAAATTAATATATGTTCAAATATTTTAAGGTAGCTGACAAAAAAGAAAATTATTTAATTTTTTATCTCTTTTTCATAATCTATCCATCAGAGTCAAAGACCATGATTTTCTTTTATGAAAATTCACATCGCCCCTCCAAATGTGGTCTTTTATTTCAGGCTAGCTCTTTGCCAACATTTACTAACAATGGAATCTTTTGTACTGGTTATCAAGAAGATTGACCATATTCGGATCAAATGAAAGCTCTCACCATCAAACTAACAAATTTAAAATATTACGTCCCCATAGCGTACCTGGAGCAAGTTACTTAAATTTCAAGGTATGTGGAATTTAGATATAAAAATGAATCAAGAAGGATTTTCTCCACTATTGTCAGAACAAAACATGGTGTTTCTCGGGCCATATTAAACAGGATCGCTTCAAATCTTCTAATCGGCCCGAATAACACTATGTTTTGTCCTTACAATAGTGGAGAAAATCCTTCCTGATTCATTTTTATACATAAACTCTACATACCTTGAAATTTAATTAACTTGCTCTAGGTACACTATGGGAACGTAATGTTTTTTTGAATTTGTTAGTTTGGCGGTGAGAGCTTCCATTTTATCCGAATATGGTCAATCTTCTTGATAACCAGTACAAAAGGTTCCATTGTACGATCATTTGAAAAAACTCAGCATCTCCTAATGAAAATATTTTTATGATACTGAATTGTTGTCTGTAGGTCTACTGGTAGATTTGCAATTTTTCTAGCAATATACAGGGTGTCCCAAAAGTCTTGTAGCGATAAGCTTTTTGATTATCCCCACTATTTTATTTGACAATATCGACTGTATTTTTTAAATGATAGATAAATGCACCAAGTTTTTATTCATATAGACAAAGTTCATAAATACTCTATAAAGAGTATTACTTCTGAGCGCAATCTAAAAATTTGGTATTTTTTCAACGTCAGAAAACAATATGCAATGTTTTTTATGTCGTTATTTCGCTTTCTATCGTTATTATTGATCTTAAACCATCAACATATATTATTGTTGCTCTGTAACCATTTTATTTGACATTTTTTGAAAAGATTGACTGAATATTGCATTTCTCGAAAACACATTGCTCCTGAGATAGCAATACTTTTGATAATTAGTAAAGTGAAGGCATTGCTTGATTTTATAATTTTTATTGCTATTAGACTTGATATCATTGTATTGTTTTTGTAAAATCATATCAAAATGAGTGGTAATAAACCAGTAGTAAGATATGTTAATGGTTTAAAGTCTATAATAACAATAGAAATCTAAATAACTATATAAAAATGTTGCATTTTGTTTTCTGACATTGAAAAAATACCAAATTTTTAGATTGCACTCAGAAGTAATACTCTTTATAGGGTATTTATGAACTTTGTTTGTATGAATAAAAACTTGGTGTATTTTTGTCTATAATTTAAAAAAAGACAGTCGATATTGTCAAATGAAATAGTGGAGATAATCAAAAAACTTATCACGACAGGACTTTTGGGGCACCCTGTAAACTGTTTGAGAAGTTTAGCTTAATACTTAATAATTGATCTTGTATGACTCTTTATTCAGTATTAATATCAAAGATTATGTATTTTTCACAGATACTATATCATCTTTGAACATGTAGTAAATGCATGATAGGTAATAGTTCTTTGATTTTCATTTTGATACAATCAAATAGAAAACAACAAAACGACATCATAAAAACGATAATGTTCTACGTATTGTTACTCACTGACGTATATTATCATGACTTTCTTTGACATTTTGCCGTCTGCTATGAACGAGGCCTTTCTATCCTGACAGCTATTGTCTCTTGTGACCTGTATGCCTTTGCCTATATAAGTATGCGTCGTAAACGCAAAAGACACACAATCTCCAACATTATATTAGCCAAATAAAGTAAG